CACCATTGTCACATGCCGCTCCTGCTGCCACACAGAATCACTAGGTTTCTAGCCTGTATTTCTGGAATCTTCTTCCACACTCCCTAACAACTCTGTCACTTTGGGTTGAAAACAAACTTTTGCAGCTGTGTAACCTTTAGTCTACAAAGATTGTCAGATCTGAATTTAGAAAATAACACAGTTCCAAACTCCTGTGGCTGAAAAGGCCCAGGTGACAAAATCCAGGAGGGGGAAAGCTGGGAGCTGGGAAAGCTAAGGAGATAGCAGGGGAGGCCAGTTAAATTTAATGGTACCCAGAGATGTCTGATTTATGTTACATTTTAGAAAAACAAGCTACAATAATGTCACCACTAAATTAACACCATTACAGAAAAAAACGACATTAGGGCTTTGCGTTTCAGGCTCAAAGAACATTGATTGTGTGCACCGCATAAGTCCCAGCCCACACAGTCAGAACCAGTTCAAATCCCAGCCACACTGTTTCATGGTTGTGTCCCTTGGCCTCTCTGTCATTGTGTTTCTCTACCTGCTAGGTGGAAATGATGTCCAATTCTTCAGGACAGTGAGGGGTTCCATTAAATGAGACAAACATAAAGAGCTTGTGATAGTTAGAATGATATCCTCAAGGATAGGATCTTCTTAATCCCACAAGCCCTTGAATGTGGTACCTAGCATGGCAAAGGAACTTTCCAGATGCGATCAAGCTAAGGACCTTGAAATGGGGAGATGAACTTAGATTATCTGGGCAAACCCAATAGAAACACAAGGGCCCTTCTAAAAAGGAAGAGGATCAGAGTTAGAGAAGGAGATAAGATAACAGAAGCAGAGAGAAAGATAGATGATAGGTAGACAGGTGGATGGATAAGTGGATAAATAGATGAATGAGTGAATTTGAAGACGCTACACTGCTGACCTTGAAGATAAAGAGGCCAAGGGGTGCTCACAGCCTTAACTGGAAAAGGTGAGAGAAAGGAGGTCCCCTAGAATCTCTGGAAGGAACACAGTACAGCAGACAACCTGATTTTGCAGCTCAACCTCCAAAGCTATAAGATAATAAATTCACATTGTTTTAAGTCACTAATTTTATGGTAATTTGTTATTGCAGCAAAAGGAAACTAACATAAAGGCTTTTCGCCTGCTTACCACAGCACTTAGTATATTTTAAATTCCATAAAATGGTAGCCAGTGAAAGTAGCTAACTAACATTTGAAGGGATTGCTTTGTGACCAGACATGCATCAGATGCCTTCATCCCTTCCATGACATCCAGCCAAAGGATTTCTCCCTCCTCCTGATCATGTCCTTTGATAGGTGTGTGTCCCTTTGAGGCAGCTGTGAGATGATTGTGGAGAGTTCATTCTCATATGGACATGAAATCTGACCCTCAGGCCCTTGGAAGCCTACATGGGCCCCTCTGCTCCTGACACCCCATCCAGATGACTGTACCCAGGTCTCAGCCAACCCCAGAGTCCTCACAGCTAACATCTGCATCATCTTGCCCTCAGCCTGGCCTTTGCCAATTCTGTCAGTGTTTTTCATGAGATGCTGAGCTCCTCCTTGCTATGTGATCATTCTTCCCTGGAGCCACCCAGGCATCTCACTTAAGAGAACGCATAGCCAAACGCCACATTCCAGGCATGGTGACTCTCCCAGGACACCTAGACAGCACCTATACTGGGCTGGGGCAGCTGATCAGTGCCCCTGTCTTTCTGTCTCACAGTGCAGGTAATGGACTGAACCCTGGCTTCATGCGAGGGACTATTTAGATCCACATACTTGATCACACGGCTTGTCTGTTTCATGTCATACTAGTACACTGAGCTTAGCACTCCAGCCAATTCCTCGGGCCTTGTAATGCCAACCAATGTATTCTCTGCCTGTCATCTTAAAATGTGCTAAGTGTTAACTAAGCCTTCTATGTCTGCATCACTAATAAAAATATCAGGAAGAGCCATGACCATGGCCTTTCCCTGCAAATTTACTTTCACACTGACATTGATTAGCATCTTAGAATATGGACATAAAACAATTCCAAGCGACCTACTACGCATAGTCGTCAGCAGTTGAAATTACTTCATCTTGTGCATAAATCTGTTAGGAGATTCCTTGACAAATAGCAAGCTGAGGTCTGCTTTGCCTCTATCCCAGCTCACACAATTCCCTGACATAATAATCTAGCGAGTCTGCCACAAAGCTGGGACTATGGATACCTTGCTGTGACTTGCTCTTAAAGAACCCACACAGGCCTCTGGAGCATTCGCCATTCTTCGTGTGCTCACAAATCAGCCCTAGCTAATCTGATCAGGAAACTTAATGAGTGTGGATAGGCTAGCCCCACTTTTGTAGATGGCAGAATCTGTTCCCCTCTTTACAAATAGAAGCTATATTTTCTCATCTCTAGTGTTCCATTTTCTTTCCCAGTCTCCATGTTCCTTAAAGATTATCAGCAGAGGCTCCACAGCTTCGGTGGTGAATTTCCTCTACTCCCTGGAGTGTAATTTGTCCTGGCCAAGAGACTTGAGCTCATTTACAGCAGGTTGGTGCTGTTATAATCTCTTTACTCATCTTGAACTTCAATTTTCTCTTACCACGGTTTTCTTTTTCTTTTTAGTCAGAACATTGTTCTCCTTGGCAAAGAAGAAAGAGGTAGAATTCTGCTTTCTCATGCCATTCTAAAATGCAAATAGCATCACTTTACTCACTTGGCCCCAAACTCAGGAGTGGCTGGCCCCCTCTGCCTCTGACAGGGGTTCTCAAACTCCTCAGGGGTAACTGTTAGAAGTATAGATTCTCATTTTGGTTATAGTCCCCACAGAATGCCCACCCCCCTTTTCTGACCCTAATAGAACCAAAATGAAAATGCATACATTATGCAAAAATGAAAAATGATGTAAGAATTACATAAAATAATTCATAAAAAAAAAGAAATACAGATTCTCCGGTGAATTTCTCTCTCAGAGGCTGAGTCCGTTGGTGTGTTAGTTAGGATAACAGTAGCTATGAAAACAACCACCCCCACCCCAAATGTACAACAGCTCAAACACAATAGAATTTTATTTCTCATTCTGTGAAAGCTGAAAAATGGGTGTTCCAGATCAGTGTTCCCATCCGAACAATAATTCAGGGACTCGGGGATTTTCCGATCTTGTTGCCCTGCCATTTTCAACAGGCAGCTTCCAAGATCCCTAGGCACGCCTGCATCCACGTGGAGCGAAGGAAAAGCACATGGAGAACATGCAGGACTGATTTTAACTGAGTTTGAAGAAGGGTCATTTGTTCCATTCATATTTTAGTGAGATGAGGACTCCTACCTGCAAAGGAGGCTAGGAAATCCAGTCTAACTCAAAGGAGGCTGGGGAATGTAGCCTAACCTAGGAGGGAGAGGGTTGGGAAATGGCGTGAACATGGGTTTAGGCTTAGAAATCTTCATTTTCACAAGCCCCCCACTTGATTCCAGTGTGGAACCCCACTTTGAACAACACTGGCCCTGCACCTCACTCAGTGCAGAGCATCCAAGGCTCTCGAAGAAATGACGCCACTCTCCTCTCCAGCCCTGTCTGCATTCTCCACCTGCTCTATTCCTGTGAATCACAAGCAGCTTCCCAGCCTGCTCTTCTCTCTCAGCTCTGTGCTTGGCAGGTCTTGCTCTCCCTGCCCTTCCTCCCGTCGTTCATTTGGAGAATTTCTGCTCATCCTTCAGGACTCAGCTCCAGCGGACTCTCTCTGTACAGCCTTTCCTGACCCACCTGCCCCCAAGTATCACCAGCAGTGCCTTTCCTAATGTCTCTGTCCTACCTGCGCTGAATCTCATTACGGTATTGATCATGCTGAATGGCGTTTGTTTATGTGTGTGTCTTCCCATTAGACTGGGAGATCCTCAAGGGCAGCGACCTTTTCTTAATTATCTTTGTATCCTCAGCACCTGGCGCCTTGCCTGGTACGTAGTGGCACTCAGTGAGAGTTTGTTCCTCAGAAATCCTTAGTAGTAGACAACTTGCCACAATCACTGATCGGGTCCTTGCTTGATTTCTGCTCATGTCAAATAAGAAAGCTTTTTGTTGTGGTGGTTGTTATCCTTACAGTTCAGCTGCCTTAATTAATTAGACCTAATTAGCAAATGAGGTTTGCATGGCTCTACTACGTGGACACTCTGCTCCCCTTTTGCAGCTGCACTCAGAGGTGACCTTCTCCAGCAGACACTCGAGTTCATCAGCATCCGCCCCCATTGACTATTACAATTCCAGGGCACTGGCAATTACACGTGAAGATTTCTATCAAAATGTGTTCTTGAGCCATCTTCCCTTTTGGAGTCTCAAATCATGCCCCCCTAATTTCGGAGCACCTTCAGCAACCTGAATTCCTGAAATCCAGTAATACATTCTTCCATGCCTACTCTTCCCTCTGCGAGTCATGGAATCTGAGAGACCGTTATCGGGAGCCTCCGGGATGTCTTTCCGGGACCCCACCGCCTGTTGTCAACCCCAGGTGCCCTCTCCCATTAAACCTCTGTTGGTCTGTGCTGCTTGTCGGAGATGAAGTCATAAAGGGGCTTGCGGCTACAGCCTCGGTCTCTCTCTCTCCCCCTACCCTCTCTTTCAGCTCACTTCTCCCCAGGGAGAAATCAGTTGCCAAGTCTCGAGGCAGCTCTGTAAAGAGAGCCACATGGCAGGAGCTGCAGCCTGCAGCCAACAGCCATGCAAGTGAGCTTGGAAGCCAAGTCTCAGCCCCAGCGGAGCCTTGACATGACTGTAGCCCCGGGTTGATGTCTGACTGCAGCCTCGGGAGAAACCCTGTGCCAGAGCTGCCCGGCTCAGATGCTTCTGGAAACCTGACACTGAGTGAGGTCACAATAGTGTTCAAGTTGTTCCTTTGGGGGGAAATGTGTTACACAGCCACAGATAACCAATACAACTTGGGCTTCTTTCTCGCATTCTAACCTTACCTCCGGACTTCAAAGAACGAGAGACGCCACCATCCACCAGGGATGGCAGGGCTTACCTGTGGGAGGGATACGCGCAGGTATTGAAAAGGCAAGATACGACATTCGACCGCCATTCTGGTTTGGATGTGAGACTAGAACGAGGCCGCTGCCAATCGATGGGTCATCCAGGATTTCGTGGTGGTGACGGAGCAGCCACCCCTCCTCTGTGTGTCTGCATCCCAAGTTTACACTCAGGACTCATCATTTTCCATACTTTTTTTTGTAAGGACTCTAAGAAACAAAATTAAAAATTAATTTAAAACAATGTCTGCACACAGTAAGAGCTGAACTGATATCAGCTATTGTTGATATTTTCATCATCAGTATATCATGAATTTACTTACTGACAGCCCAAGTAACATTTCTGTTGCTATGAGCAATACAGACCTTTCTCCTGTCACAGGTTGATCTTGATTCCCAGTAAAACAGCCTTGATTATAATGATGAGGTCATATCTGCAGCCCAATTAAAACCTTCAGTTCAGTTTAATAGGATTTGTCTGCAGATTGGTTTATAAATATCTCAGATACCAAACACTGTTCTGACTCTTTTCAAGTCCTTCTAAGGTTTTCTGAACACACACACACACACAACACACACACACACACACCCATTAGTGCTTAAGTGCTGGTTGTTTCTAGTGAAATTTTACATTGGCCACAACTCTGGCTAATTTTGAAATTACCAAAGGTTTAGACTTTAGCTCGAAGATACCTGTTGCTTTCTAGGAAATTCACAGCTATCTAAAGGAAATGTGTCTGGTTTGCAAGGCTTTTCCTAAATCTCCAACAAGTAAACCTATAAAGAATTGGAATCTTTTTTTAATGAAATTGTCTGGTAAATATTTTTCAAAGGTTTAAAAGTTGTGAACAATGTGGACACAATGGGTTTGTCGTGTTATGCTTTTCTACATTTCACATTGGCTCCCAGAAGTCTAGAAAGAAAATTTCAGTCTCAACAGGACTATATCCTTCCATTTGTAACAGTCTTTAATTTTTCCAGCAGTTTCTATTCAAAACATCTTTTATTACCTGATACAAATGGACCTTCCTTTATGCAGTCCAGTACCCCTGCCCATTTGCCCTCTTTTCCCTTAGAGGGTCTAATTGGGGAACCCATGTACCCCTGTGCATGAGGCCCTACCCTTCCCTCCTCCCTTCGGGTGGTGTCTGTTCTATTTCATTCCTAAATATCTTCTTTTGCTCCATGTTTTGATGGGTGTGTTGCTCAAGACCTCTTGAAAATAAGTAGGTGACAGGTCTTTAAAATAAATTTGCGTTTCTAACCAGTTGCATATGAACGGAATTTCTAATAAATCGGCTACAGATTAAATATCACAAGGAAAACCTTCACTTAAAGGAAACCCCTGCATCCTTTTGTAATGCAAACTAGCAAATCCTTCTGTGTTATCATTTGAATTTCATGTATCATATTTTCTTACAGCTATGCGCACCTGGACCAGATGGTGACTTTTATCACAGACTTCAGGCTATTTTTAAGGCCCTTGGTAAATATTCAGAAGGTTCCCTGAGTTCAGACCCTATTGCTTTTCACTTTCTTGTCCCTCCAGTTCCCTGGGGACAGAGCCTCTGGGGCCAGTGTGTGACAACCACATGTACACCACACAGGACCACCCAAATTCTTCCTCCCAGACCCACCATGGGAAAGGTGTATGCAGCTTCCCAAAATCTGATTGGGATAAACCTGAAGATGAAGTGCAGGATCACATATTTTAAAGGACCCCAAATAGCTAACATCATTAGCTACCTCACACTGCAGACCAAGATTGAGCTCAGACTCCCAGAGTGGAGAGTGCAAAGCTTGATTCTCAATACTTCTGTCCACAGGGAGAATAAAGAAGTTGTTTCTCCAAGGAGGAAGGGCTGTCTTTGCTTGTGAACATGACAGGCAACCTTGCTTTGGAGTGAGGAGATCAGCAATAACTCCCGAGACAGCCCTGGACCTGGCGGTGTTCGTTACCTGCCTGACGAAAATGAGATTTGCTACCCCAGCTCCTGCATTCGGGTTCCCTCTGCCTCCTTCGAGGCTGTCCCCCAGTCCTGGTGGGGGGCAGACTGTGGATCCTCTCAGACAGAGGGCTCCGGAGTCTCTGCCTGGAGATAGTCAAGGCAGGACAGCCCCCTGTTCTGGGTGGATGATCGTTGTCCTGCCTCTGGCCTATTGAAGGCTTCAAAATGGCTATACTGATGGCATGGGCGTGGCCTAAGTGCTGCTAGAAACTCAGAGGGAGGTGAAAGGCACAGCATGGTGGACTCTGGTGTCCAACAGGACACAGCAGGCCCTTTCACGGCTGTAACGGCAGGAGGACACAGGGCAGGTTCTCTATGATTCGAGCAGACAGGATAAAGGAGAAGTCCTAGGGCCCTTGGTGGCTTTTCAGGCTGTTATTGGGATTTACCAGGTATGCTGCAGGCAGGGGTGCCAGAGGGCTGGGAGGCTGGTAGGCCTCCCAGTCCCTAGCAAGTCCTCACTCTTTCTGGGCTCTCTGGCCTTCTCTCTGCTTCCTCGTGGTTCTTGTTCTCTTGGCGTCCCCATGACACAGGCCTTATAAGCCCAGCCTTAGCCCAGGTGTACCTACTTGCGCATGCCCACACCATACTCCAGGTGTCCGCCATCAGGCCTGCATTCAGGACCACAAGGATCCATCATCAATCCTAATGGCGGGAGGGCAGAAAAGCCTGATACTTTACTTACCTTACAATGGCTTATTCTAAAAAACAGCTCAAGGGGCCTCCCTGGTGGCGCATGGGTTAAAGTCTCAGTGCTATCAAGCTATCACCAGCCACCGGGACAAGAGTTCAATCCCGGCCAGGGAGCTGACCCACATGGCACGGCAGACCTCTCCTGTCTCGCCTGCTGCTCCCCTCAGTCAGTCTGCCCGTTCTGCTCCCCACTCTGTCTCTGGTGAATCCTCTCACCACCCCCGCACCTCTGGCCTGTACCCCAGTTCTTGTATGCATAAGCAAATAAAAATAAATCTTAAAAATAAATAAATAAAAAACAACTGAAAAAACATACATAGTTCCATCTTCTCACACAAGTCTCCTGAATTTTCCCCTTCATGATTCTGCTTCCATGAATGCAGAAACAAAAACTCCCTGCAATCTCTGCCACCAATCATTTCGGTCTTCTCCTTGCAAACTCTCATAGAGAAACATTCGCCCCAACTTGAACATCAAAAAGGTAAAGTAAATCATTCAACACTCAATAAATGTGTAGTGAGCAACTATTCAATCCATTCCTTCCTCCGTGGATGGGGAATCACTTCATCAATGGGGGGAGAAGATGCTGCTCTCTTAAAACACCCAGCAGTGTTCCCTGTCAGCTGGGGAGTCAGAACCACCCAGGGAAATTGTTAGTGGCTCTGTCTAATTAGCGCTCCTGCCACCTGCAAACAAGTGGGACTGAAAAAAGGTGCTGAATTCCTGCCATTGAGCTTGCCAAAAAAAAAAAAAAAAAAAAGACACCACCAGTTTCATTCTGAATCTTAGATTCTAATAGTTCACTGATTTGGACAAAAAGAAATATGCAATTTCACTTCTGCCCAAAAGAAATGACTGTTAACAAGTCCCGTTGCAGAAACTACGGCACCGTGATGAACCAACCTCCTAATCCAGGGTCCTACCTCCTCTGCCCTCTGCCTTTCCGGATGGCTGATGGACCCCTGCCTCCCCTGGAAATCTGCTCATTCCTCAAGTTCATTCTGAATCCCGCCACCCCCAGGAAGTCCTCCTGACCAGCTCTAACCAATCTGGTTCCCCTAGGCCCCCACAACACTGAGGGTCTTCCCCCCACAACTGAGTTCTAAGTTGTACTTCTTAATAACAACTATTGTTACCCTACCCTCTGTCAGTAACAAGAACCAAGTATTTTATTTGGTTGCCCGGAGCCCTTACGGAGGAACAGAAAAGGCAAAAATGAGCAGAGTATAAACCACCTTACTCCTCTCCTGTATTCCTGATAGCACCCAGCATGGAGCTGAGCACGCAGGAGGGGCTCAGCAAACGGCTGATTGAATGACTAGCGTGTGCCTTTGTGACACATCACAAAGTGGCCACAGTGAAAATTCAGCTGCCGTGACTTCTCACCTCCTGTTTCAATCAACACCACGGGGGTGGAGACGCTGGACACACAGTAGGTGCTAAATGGATTTTACTATTTAAAAGTGGTTTAATATTTAAACCACTGGTGGGACAGTGTGACTTATGCAGTATTTATTCATGTTTGTAATGCCAAGTGGGAGTGTTTTGAGTGGGGCGTGAAATTTGAAAAACAAAACAGCAAATACAAACCCCTACCAGCAGAAAAGCTGGCTCCTGCTCACCCACTGCTCCCCTGAAAACAGATGTCCTCTCAGACCGGAGGGCTTCCGAGGCATCCACTCTTCCAAGTGAGCTTCATTCAGTGATCAAAGAGACGCTTGCCCCTCTTCTGCCTCATTCTGTGTATCTTAAACCTATTTCCAGTTCTGGGTCCAGGACTGGCTGCTGATAAAGGCAAAATCAGCATCCACTGTATCCCTTGAAGGGAAAACCACTGGGTTAATGACAAAAGAAATTGTTTCCATGTGTCGAGTGCCGTGAAAAGAACCAAGGCTTTGGAACCAGCCAACCAGGCTCAAACGCCAGCTTTGCCACTTAGGGCTGTGTGACGGCCAGGAATCACCTATCCTCTCTGCGACTTAGCTTTTGAGGCTGATAATATAATTCCCCAGGTTGCTGTGATGATGGACAGGATGTCACGGGAACAATGCCTGGTATACAGTAGCCATTTTCTACAATGTGTAGTAAATGATCATGTTGTTCTGGTTATTATTGTAAATACAAATAGAGAGTCCAGCTTATGTAGCACTGCCTCACACAGGCAGTCCTGAGGTGGCTTCCGCTGGTGCCTCTCTAGGTGACAATAGTAGTCATTCCAGCACAAAGTCCTTGTCTCGTTGACTGCACAAATAATGGGCTATCCTCTGAGCAGGAGTGAATGTTCCAGACCATTCCAGTCAGCTTCTCTGTGTATTGCAAGTCCACTTCTTCACAACCCACTTGCTTGAAGCGTGCACATCAGTTCAGACTCCAGAGCCCAGCTAGGGGCATTTCTGTCAAATAGGGAGGGCAGGCTTCTGAAGCATGGGATCTCCAAAAGCACACCCCACAGAGCTGACCGGTGTGTCATGCAGAAATCTTGAATGAGGGCTGAAGAGGTTCCCACATGCAACGCTCAGCCGTTCCACGTAACACACAGATGCAGGCTGACCATGGAGCGCATCCCATGAGGCACAGAGCAGGGCAGCACACAACCCAGCACAGTCCCACACACCGGCAAGGTCTATGCAGAGAGAGGTGATCCCTTGCAAAGCACACTGCAGACCCAGCCTATGTCGCCTCGGGGAAAGGAGCCGGTGACCCAGCCACAACATTCCACACGAAGCGGAGCTCATGTCGGGACCTGAGCAGACCCTTTCTAAGCGGCTGTGTCCAAACCCAACAGCTCCCAGCTGGGTGGAGCCCCACCGCAGTAGAAGAACTTGGCTCCAGACTCTGGAAATCCTTATTTGCATTCAGGCTCTGGGGATGAAAGAAGGGTGGGGTGAAGAAAGGGTAGACCAGCCCACTGCGATTCTAATTCACACAGCTTTTCTCCTTCTCCTGATAAGCTGGCACCCCTGGGGAGCAACTATCAAGCTCTAGCTCTGGAGATGAGGCAACACCCCAGAATCAGCACCCTGGGCATTATCAAGGCCAGAAAAGGCTCTGCTTCATTCAGCAAGGCCGCCCTTTTCTGATAATGCCAGCAGGGGACCAGGGAATCCTAATACCTTCACCAGGGATGGAGCTGAGGCAGGGTTCTTGGAGAGTATCTTCTCTTCTTCCTTCGGAGGATCCTTCAAATCTATCCGTGAGGCATATTATGGGTGCCTCAAACTGCCAGGTCTTGGTTTACCCCAGACCCTGCAGCCCCAGCCACATCTCCATGAGCCCACGCCATCCTCGAGGCCCACACTGTCCTCCAGGGAGCCCAGATCTCTGCGTGCTCACAGCTGCAGGATCCACGCAGACGGGTGCACAGGCGGGCTTCCTACCATGCGAAGGAACACCAACCCCACCCCCTTTTCTTCTCCTCCGTGGTGGGGTTGATTTAATCATGGATCCTTTTAAAATCCCAAATAACCCCTCTCTCCATCTTCCTGTGGACACATTACCCCTTCCTGACCACTTCGCACACCATGCTAAGAACTTAACCTTCAAAGCAGCACACCCTGGTTCTCCTTCAGGTGTTGCTGGAGAATCCTTAGGGGCGCCTTCTCCCCCACCCGCACCCCCACGCTGCTCCCCCTTCCAGGCACCTGCGGTCACACCACTTTTCCCGGCTGACCCCTCCTCAAAGGCAGGTTCCTCCCTGGGGTGCTCTGCTCTGCGCCCTCCCTGGCCCCCAGGCGCCACACACCCAGGCGCCCTCGGTCCTCCGACTGCTGCTTCTTGCAGGGAACACAGCTGCCCTCACTCCAGGGCCACTTCCCTGGCGTCCTCGCGCCCTGGCGCGGACGGTCCTCCCGCTGCCCTCGGTAGATTATTATTATTTATTATTTATCAGCCGCCACGCTGCACTCCGCGTCCTACAAGATATTAAAGAGACACAATCCCTGCAGCGAGTGTACAGCCAGGGAAGCAGAGGCCTGGCTGCCGGCGCGGCGGGGGCCGGGGCGGGCGGGGAGAAGGGAATTTGGGGGGAGTCCGGGCTGCCGGCCGTGGGGGCGGGGCCTGGCGCGGCCCGCCTCCGGCCGGCTCCTCCCACTTCGCGCGCTGCCCCCCCCAGCCCCCCATTTCTAACCAGGCCTCAGGCCTCGGCAGCATTGCCCAGGGAGGGTCGGGGTGGCGCGAGGGTGGAGGGGGACGCCCCCGGGGCCTCACTTTCTGTTGGGGGTGGGGGAGGGGAGTGGGGGGGCAGGTATTTCCTCTGAAATTCAAAGCCAGACGGGGCGGGGGTCGTGGGGAGCAGAGGTCGGGGGACGGAAGCCAGACCTGGGCGGCGGGGCGGGAACGCGGGGCCGGGGTGAAATCTTCTGGCATAATGGGAAAAGCCCGTTTGGGGGCCGCAAGGGCCCCCTGCAAACCTCTCCTGTTGGAGCTGAAGTTGGGGTGCACGTAGCCGGCGTGAGTCGACAGAGGGCTGACGGGGAGTCAGAGAGTGCGAGAGCCTGGGGGGCCGGTGGAGCCCGGACCGGCCGGGGTGTCCGCGAGGGGCCCGTCTCAGCGGCGCGCGCGGCGCCGGCTCCGGGGGGCGCAGACGGGGAAGTTGGCGCGCGGGGCCGCCCGCGGGGGGCGGGGGGGGCCGAGCTCGCCGGGCCCGCGGGCCCCGCGGCGGCGGCTGCTCGGGGGCCGGGGCGTCGCGTGGGGGGCGCCGGGCGACGCTGGACTTCGCTCCTCAAACTTTTCCGCCAGTTTCCTCAGGTGCGGCGAGCGGCCGGGGAGTCGGCGCCGCCCGGCCCCCACCGGCCGCCGGGACCCCGGGCCGGGCCGAGCCGCGCGGAGCCGCCGCCGGGCGCCGTGGCCGAGCCGGGCGCGCGGGCGCCCGGGGGCGGGGGCGGCGCCCGGACGGACGGACCCCGCTGCGCGCGCGGCGCCCCGGGCCGGGCGGCGGGGCCGGGGATCCCCGGGGCCCCGGGAGCCGCGCCGGGTGCCCGGCCGGGGCGCCCCGCCTCCCCGCCCGCCGCCCCCGCCCACCCGGGCGCCGGCGATTGGCTCCGCCCGCCCCTGGCTGCGCGCCGGGCCCGCCTCCCTCCAGCTAAAGCAGACGGGCCCGGCGCGCGCGAGCCAGAAGGGAGCATGGTCCCCGCGCCGCGGCCGCGCCAGCCCCCGCGCCAGCGCCGTCCCCGCCGCCGCGGACCCCGCCGCAGCCCCAGCCCCGGCCCCGGCCCCGGCCCCGCCGCGCCCGCCCGCGGCCGCCGCGCCTGAGCCGCCCGCGCCGCGCCCGCGCCCGCGCCCGAGCCCCGCGCCGGCCCCGGCCCCGCGGCCGCCGCGGCTGCGGGGAGAGGGCGGGGGCGATGCTGCCGGAGCCGCCGCCGCCTCGGGGAGAGCCGCGCCGCGCCGCGCGCCGCCGCACCGGCTGACGGAGGCGGCTCCCGGGCGTGCTCCCCGGGCTGCCGGGAGGCGGCGGCGGAGGACAGGAGCGCGGCGGAGACAGCGACGCGAGGAGCTGGACCTGGATCCGCGGCCCCCGGCCAGGACCCGCGCGGCCCCGCGACCGCCACCCGCCGGCGCCGGCCCCCGGGCATCGGCCCGCCCGCGCCCGCCCGCGACCCCCGGCTCTGCGCGCGGCGGGCCGGGGCCGGAGCGGCGCGGCCGGAGGTAAGAGCGGGGGGGCGCGGGGGCGCGGCGCGGAGACCGGGGTCCTGGCCGCCCGCGGGGCCGGGCCGGGCCGGGCGCGGGCCCGGGCGCCCGGAACGCCGGGCTCGGCTCCCCGGCGGTGGCGGCGCAGGAGCCTCCCGCGTCTGGACTCGCCAGGCTGCGGGAGCCCCTGCGCCTGCGCTGCTCCGGGGGGAAGGGGGGGAAAAAACTTCCTGCCCCGGGGGTCTGGGCGCGGGGCTGCCCGGGGCCGGGGGCGCGGGGGTCGCGCGCGTCGGGAGCCGGGGCGCCCTCGGCGGGGCAGCCCCGCCTGGGCCCGGCGCGCGTCCCTCCCAGGCCACCTCTCCGGAGCCGCCGGGGCCCGGCCGGGCTGGGGGCCAGGAGCAGGCACCGGAGGGCCGACCCCGGGCGGCCGCGCGCCCTGCCCTTTGGGAAGCGCGAGCCCCGGTGCAGCGGGAAGCCAGCCTGGAGGTTCCACCCTCCGCCCCAGACCTCGCATTTGGGGACCGGTCTCTCCACTCAATCCCAAGTAACTTTCAAGGTGGAAGAGCTTGAAAACCATCGGAGGGACCCCGCACAGACCTTGTTGTGCCCCCCCCCACCCGAGCCCCTGGTGGGTGCCCCGGTGTCGGGGCGCGGACGGGAGCGCCGCCGGGGATGGCGAGGGGCGCGGATGCGGAGCCGTGCGGGAGGTTGTTTATGTCGGAGAGTGTGGACAGGGAGGGGACGAGCGAGGCGGGAGAGTGGCCGCGCGCCCCGACAGCCGCGGGGGTGCGGGGGGCCGAGGGCCCGCGCGGGGCGCTCCGTGGCGTGGAGGGGCCGGAGCACCGGGGGCCTCTCCGGCCGCCGCGGTGTCCGCGCTGGCGGCGGCGGGCCGGGCAGGGCGCGCAGATCGCGGGCCGGGGCGGCGCGGCCGCGGCTCCCGGGCAGGTCGGCGCCGCGGTGGCCGGGGACGGCGGGGACGCGCTGCCTGCCCGTGGCCGACGGCCTCGAGGACGCGGGTGGGGGCGAGGCACGCCTCGGAGATGCCCGGTCCGCGCCCTGAGAAGCCGGTGCTGGTTCCGAGGCTCCCGAACCCTGAGCAGCAGCTGCGTCCACCGGCCGGTGCCCGCGGGTCCCCGGGGAGGCTGATGGGCCGGGAGCGCCGCGTCCTCTGCCTTCCCAGCCGCTCTGCAAACCTCCCCTCCCGCCCCACGGTGCTCGCGCCGCTGCGCGCCCGGGGCGAGCCGTGAACGCAGGTATTTATGTAGCATTAGGCGACACCTCGGCGCTGGAGGGACCAGACCGTGGAGGACGCCGAGCTGCTGCTGCCCACAAAACTTCTACTTCGGCAGCTCAGGGACAGGAGACTCCTCTGCTGCAGGCTACAGTCATTCCGAGCCCAGCTAAGCTGGGATGCGGACTCCTCTTGCAGTGACAGGTCTGTCCTGGTTACAGCTGTATTTACCCCATTTCAGTCTCTTTAAAGGCATCTTCTGTCTAGTCACTACAGAGTTCCTTCTCCCCTCGTGCTATCTTACCTCCAACTCAGCCCTGGGAGAGCAGATTTCAGGAATTATTTCAATTTGGCATGAATGACAGCAGGTTAAATGAGCCCTCTTCATTATTCCTGATGTTTTGTTGTTGTTTTTTAAATTATGTTGGGGGAGCATACAGCTAACTTTTCCTACTCTTTTGGGAAGTCGGGGGATTGTGTCATAGATTGTTCATCCTGACACTTGCAAGCCTTTGACCAGTGACACACAGGGGAATGCTGCACACAGGCTGGTTGGAATGTGTGTCTTCCAGTGGTCTCCTGTTCTAGGTATTAATGCATCTGCAGAACTACGGGCCACTGCAAATACAGTCTCTGCCCCCCATACATTGTTCTGGGTGCTCTTGATTTATCATCCTGCTATAAATCAGGCAATTACTAACATATGCGCCCTCAAACTCTATATGAATTTAATGGCATTTAAATTGGTTTATGGGCAGATGCATTTAGCCTATTTTAATAAGTTTTCTGCACAAGCATCTTATAAACTATATTTGTCCATGATTAGGAAGAACATTTTCTCCTGCATAGTTTCTACGTTTCTAGCAGAGTTAATGGAAATTTATAGGTCTCCAACTTTCAATTGCAAGCAACAATCCAAAGGAAATACCTAGAGTTGTACTGAAATAAAATATCCTATGGTAGCCATGGTAACAAATAGATTAAGGGTTATTGGTTTTCATCTGTATGTGATGGGGGGTGGAATCTAGTGTTGTGTCTTTTTAATTATGTTTCTAATGAGTGGTGGTCATACCTCAAGTACTCGGTGCGGGAGATAAGCAGGACAGAGAATTCAGTTTTGTGAGAGGTTTATTGGAACAAAGACGAGTAGAGCCCAAGAGAATGACTTCTGCAACTGCAGTCCTCATATCCAGAAAGCAAGTGGATAAAGCCTTATTTTGTTTTTTAAGTAGATGAGAATTGAGTCAGTGCCTTTACGATTAGAAAATGTATTTTGCTTATAAGCTATTACCAAAGGACCCTTTAAATCCAGCCTGTTTTCTAGGAATAAACATGTTAGAAGTGTGGATGTTGGTGTGGATTGAGTGTCACAGTTGTTATCAACACCTGTCAGTCTAAGCGAGGCATATCATTAGTCTATTCAAATCCTGCCTATTTCAATATTCATGCATTTCCATGGTGATCCATTCCATTTTTGTTTACTTAGTCAACCTTATAAATCTTTGGCATCAATTTCAATTATGCCATATTTTTCCCTTTCATTTATCAATTGATGTGACCACAGATCATTCCCAATTTAAAGCATTTCCCTTTTTTGTCCCTGCTAGTTCCCAGAAGTTTACACGATGGCTGGTTCCACGCAGATAGAAAGGGGTTAAATTTTTTTTAATAGACTCAAATAACACCACTGATGCTAATGTAGTTTTTTTAGCATCTCATTTGATATGTGTGTGCATGGGTATTTTTTTTTCTTCCAGCGGGCTTACCGTAAAGCTGTCTTGCTTTATGGCCCGGAAACATCAATCCAATCCAGCAGAATTGACTAGAGTTCTTCCTTCCTTCCTTTCTTCCTTCCTTCCTTTCTCCCTTCTTTTCCTGCTTTCTTCCTTCCCACCCAGTTGTCATTCAAGGATTCTTTATGTCTTCAGCTATATCTGGCTCAAAAATACTTAGAGACTTTGTTATATCGGAAGGGGCCTGTCTTCTAAGATCTTTTCTCTTCTGGTACTGGCCGAAGATGTTCTGAATACAATATACATTTAGTCAGAGCATCCCTTAAATTCACTAAACAGGCAGTTTTGCTTAAATGCAAGTGATGATTTTGTTCACTCGATTTCCAACTTTGCTTTCTAATGATGCAGTCCCATGCTAATCACACCCTGTGTATTTCAGAAATATCAAGGCAAGCATTAGCACGCTACTGACTTATTAGAATCAGGCAAAGTAATTGAAGCACTTCAATTCAAAGTCAGAGGGAGAAATGGAATTATAACCACCCTTGTGATTCTGTAATTGGTCAAGTGCCTACTTGGGGTTAGGAAGAGGAAAAAGCTCCATAAATAAGAAATCCGGCCATTGGTTGTGGTGGTCGAGGATAAACCAAAGCAGTAACCATGCAGGATGGCTGGAGAACAAGAATCTCTTTGCCTACAGAAAAGTCACACGGAGACCCAAATGCTTAGAACGAAGCTGGAAGAATATTTAAAAATTGTGCAGAAGACAGTCATTTGTTATAACTCAGGAAATCTGGGGGAGGGGTTGTGGATCACCTCTTAATATGCTAAAATAATTGGGTAATATAATCCCTGGAAAATACTTTCATTTAAAATAAATTTTATCATAAAATGGTTTTAATG